TTGCATGTTGATTGCCCTCTTAAAAGACAAAGTCCAGCAACTGGAGGAACGTGTAGCTACGCTCCAAAGAATTAGAGAGCTGGAGCTCTTCTTGGAAGCAACAGAGCACACCGTCTCCACCAAGGAGGAGACAGGGGACTCCCCTGAGAAGGAGGCTAGCTCACCAACACAGGAGCCAGATATATGGAGAAACGTGACTCAAAGAAGTAGGAGGCCCAGGGTTCGCTCTGATTGTTTAGAAATACACAATCGCTTTGAGGTCCTCTCCCCTAACATGGAAGACGAAGAGCAGACTCCATTTGAGGATCTCTCCCTCATTACAGTCAATCAGGTATATGAAGACGAGCAGCAAAGTCAGTCCTCAGGGAATGTGCAGGCGATCTTGGAACGGACAGCTCACGGAAGAACCCCGACCAAACCTAAGAGTGTAGTGGTGATAGGGGATTCCCTACTGAGGGGAACAGAAGCAGTGATCTGTGGGCCTGACAAGATGTCTAGGGAAGTGTGCTGTCTCCCCGGGGCTAAGATCCAAGATGTAACTGAGCGACTGCAAGGAATCATAAAACCCACTGACAAATACCCCTTCCTCTTGGTTCATGTGGGAACCAATGACACGGCAAGCAATAGCCTCCAGAAGATCAAAAGAGACTACGAGGCTCTCGGCAGGAAATTGAAGCAACTAAATGCACAAATTGTCATCTCATCTGTCCTCCCAGTTGAACGACGTGGCCCAGGGAGAGAGGGAAAAATAGTGGAAGTGAACAGCTGGCTTCGCAAATGGTGTAAACAGGAACGGTTTGGATTCTTAGATCACGGACTGCAGTTTCTTGAAGATGGACTTCTGGCAAGCGATGGGCTGCACCTCACAACGGTTGGGAGAAATGTTTTTGCCAAAAATCTCAGAAACCTCATCAGGAGGGCTTTAAACTGACTAATGTGGGGGAGGGAGACAGTGCTCCTGAAGGTAGGAGTCTATCAATTGATGAAGATGATCATCCAAATGTCATAGACCAAATGGAGCAAACAGCACGCAGACCTAGTGGTGGGAGGAAAAAATCCTTAAATAAGAGACACGGGGGAATGATTAATGGACTTCAATGTCTGTACACTAATGCGCAAAGCATGGGAAATAAACAAGATGAGCTTGAGCTCTTGGTACAGCAAACTAAATATGACATAATAGGCATCACTGAAACCTGGTGGGATAAGTCCCACGATTGGAATGTAATAATGGGGGGATACAATCTATTTCAGAGAAACAGACCAGACAAGAAAGGAGGAGGAGTGGCGTTATATGTCAGGGATGTGTATACCTGTGAAGAAATCCAAGATTTAGAACCTCAAAGCCAAAGTGAGAGCATTTGGGTCAAAATTAAGGGAGAGAAGAAGAACAGAGACCTCATTGTGGGAGTTTACTATAGATCCCCAAGCCAAACGGAGGACATAGATGATGCCTTCCTGGAACAGATGGCCAAGCATGCAAAAGGAAGGGAGATAGTAGTAATGGGGGACTTCAATTACCCAGATATTTGTTGGATGTCAAACTCAGCCAAGAGCATAAGGTCAAACAGATTCCTCACTGGCCTTGCAGACAACTTCATTGTCCAGAAAGTGGGAGAAGCAACAAGAGGAACAGCCATTTTAGATCTGGTCCTAACCAATGTTGATGACCTGGTTAGTGGGGTAGAAGTGGAAGGATCATTAGGCGCGAGTGATCATGCTCTTCTGAAGTTTACTATACAGCGGAAAGGAGCAGCCAAGCATACTAGGACTCAATTTCTTGACTTTAAGAAAGCCGACTTCATAAAACTTAGGGAAGTGCTGGGTGAGATCCCATGGACAGTAATACTAAAAGGAAAGGGAGTTCATGATGGCTGGGAGTTTGTTAAGAGGGAGATAGTAAAAGCACAACGTCAGGCAATACCAATGAGACGGAAACATGGAAGGTGCTTAAAGAAGCCAGGGTGGCTATCTAAAGAACTTTTAACTGAGTTAAGATTAAAAAAGGATGTGTACAAAAAATGGAAAAGGGGGGAAACCACCAAAGAGGAATTCAAACAAATAGCCAGCACGTGTAGACACAAAGTCAGAAAAGCTAAAGCACAGAATGAACTCAGGCTTGCTAGAGAGGTTAAAAGCAACAAAAAAGGCTTTTATGGGTATGTTCGTAGCAAAAGGAAGAACAAAGAAACAGTGGGGTCACTCAGAGGAGAAGATGGTGAAATGCAAACAGGGGACACAGAAAGGGCTGAACTCCTCAATGTCTTCTTTGCCTCAGTCTTCTCCGATAAAGAAAACAATGCCCGACCTGAAGAATTTGGAGCAAATGATTCAGCAAAGGAAACACAGCCCAGAATAACTAAGGAGATAGTACAAGAATACTTGGCTAGTTTAGATGTACTCAAGTCTCCAGGGCCAGATGAACTGCATCCAAGAGTATTAAAAGAACTGGCAGATGTGATCTCAGAACCACTGGCAGTCATCTTTGAGAATTCCTGGAGAACAGGCGAAGTCCCGGCAGACTGGAGGAGGGCAAATGTTGTCCCTATTTTCAAAAAGGGGGAAAGAGAGGACCCAAATAATTACCGCCCAGTCAGTCTGACATCAATACCAGGGAAGATTCTGGAGCAGATCATTAAGCAAACAGTCTGTGCGCACCTAGAAAGGAATGCTGTGATCGCCAACAGTCAGCATGGATTTCTGAAAAATAAGTCATGTCAGACTAACCTGATCTCGTTTTTTGACAGAATTACAAGCCTGGTAGATGAAGGGAACGCAGTGGATGTAGCCTACCTTGATTTCAGCAAGGCATTTGACAAGGTGCCCCATGATATTCTTGTAAAGAAGCTGGTAAAATGCGGTCTTGACTATGCTACCACTCAGTGGATTTGTAACTGGCTGACTGACCGAACCCAAAGGGTGCTCATCAATGGTTCCTCTTCATCCTGGAGAAGAGTGACTAGTGGGGTGCCACAGGGTTCTGTCTTGGGCCCGGTCTTATTCAACATCTTTATCAACGACTTGGATGATGGACTCAAGGGCATCCTGATCAAATTTGCAGATGACACCAAACTGGGAGGGGTGGCTAACACCCCAGAGGACAGGATCACACTTCAAAACGACCTTGACAGTTTAGAGAACTGGGCCAAAACAAACAAGATGAATTTTAACAGGGAGAAATGTAAAGTATTGCACTTGGGCAAAAAAAATGAGAGGCACAAATAGAAGATGGGGGACATCTGGCTAGAGAGCAGTACATGTGAAAAGGATCTAGGAGTCTTGGTTGACCACGAACTTGACATGAGCCAACAGTGTGACGCGGCAGCTAAAAAAGCCAATGCAATTCTGGGCTGCATCAATAGGAGCATAGCATCTAGATCAAGGGAAGTAATAGTGCCACTGTATTCTGCTCTGGTCAGACCTCACCTGGAGTACTGTGTCCAGTTCTGGGCACCACAATTCAAGAAGGACACTGACAAACTGGAACGTGTCCAGAGGAGGGCAACCAAAATGGTCAAAGGCCTGGAAACGATGTCTTATGAGGAACGGCTAAGGGAGCTGGGCATGTTTAGCCTGGAGAAGAGGAGGTTAAGGGGTGATATGATAGCCATGTTCAAATATATAAAAGGATGTCACATAGAGGAGGGAGAAAGGTTGTTTTCTGCTGCTCCAGAGAAGCGGACACGGAGCAATGGATCCAAACTACAAGAAAGAAGATTCCACCTAAACATTAGGAAGAACTTCCTGACAGTAAGAGCTGTTTGACAGTGGAATTTGCTGCCAAGGAGTGTGGTGGAGTCTCCTTCTTTGGAGGTCTTTAAGCAGAGGCTTGACAACCATATGTCAGGAGTGCTCTGATGGTGTTTCCTGCTTGGCAGGGGGTTGGACTCGATGGCCCTTGTGGTCTCTTCCAACTCTATGATTCTATGATTCTATGAGGCTGTGGAAAGCTGCCATTGGGCTTGCAGCTCAGCTGCTGTCCCCTGGGTGTGCCATCTGCAAGAACGCCTCCCCATCGCCCATTTGAACACCCTCCCCCTCCCCCCAAGGTGCTGGCTCTTAAAAGTGGCACCATTGCTGGATCCAGCTTTTAGAAGGCCTTTGGGTCAGGCACCTGCCAAGGGGCCTTCTCTCTCGGCAAGTCTCCCTCTTCACTGCCATTGACACCAGTTGCTGCTGCTCCTCTTCCTCATTGCTGTTTGCTCCATTGCCAGGCAGAGTGACAGTGAGCAAGGAAGTAGCAGCAGCAGCAACTTCTGCTCTTTTTCCAGACCACTGTTGTCTGGGCCAAACTTGAGAGGCAGATGAACAAGCAGCTTGCAATGGCCAGGAGAGCAAGCAAGCCTGGTCAGCCAGCCCCTGCTGGAGTATGGACCCTCAGCAGACCCTGAGTTCCAGGCCCCCCAATGCTGTCCCCATACATTCCCAACGTCGTACCATAAATGAAACTGTTTATCACTAGTCTAAAATTTCAAATTCTACATGTTGATATAGGGTGTGGTATTCAACTATGTTTCACTCAGAGTAGTTCTATTGAAATCAATGGGCCTCTCTTGCTCATGTCAATCATTTCAATGGGTCTACTCTGAGTAAAACAGGGTAGTTGACTACCACCCATAGCATCTTTCTCCTAGGGTTCATTGTAGCAGGTGGTTTGGGGAAATCAGTTTTAAGCCTGACAAAATTGTCACTTAAAAGTGTCAGAATTTATTACAGAATTTAGGAGAGACTTTATACTTAGAACTCTGTAGAGGTTTGTAAAAACTAATGAACTTGAATTTTATCCTCAACAAGCGCACTATGCTGAGGAACCTTTGCCTAAAAATATGGATGGTCCTCTTCATCACAATCATTATGATCATAGCTTTTTGGCTCAATGGCCTTTTGACATCTAGCTGCGCCCTTTTTTAAAAAGACCATTGCTGATATCGAATGTGTGGATGAAATGGGAACAGGGAAAGATATAGCAAACCTATTTTTCCTTTTATGCTCCTTTGTAGGCAGAATTCATAGACAACAAGCTACAATGCTGTGTAGTACAGTCATCTCCAAAGATGTTATCACCAGTTGCCCCAAGATCTGTGACAAAGTCTCTGGTGGGAACCTTTCCGACGCCAACGGTGCAGACCATCTATTCATCTCACAAACCAATTTCTCTGGCAGACAGGTACTGTTCAACCTTCCACGGAAGTATTATGTGGCTTACTTTCTGAAGTCTTTCACCAGTCAATAAGCGTGTCTCATGGGGCCTGTTTTCAGATGTGGGTCGAGGAAGCAGAGCAAGAGCCTGGGGGCAGGGAAGGAAGAGGGAAGGCGCTGCTGTTCTGCCTGGGCTTCCCACATGCACAAGCCCTCATCAGCCATTGTCTCTTCTTCAGAATATTCATGCTTAATTATATTTAAGTTGCTATGACAACCTGTCGGCTGAGAAACCTGATAAGGGATGGTGTGAAGATGTTAAATCAGGGCAGTGTTTCCATGTCAATGAAAATCTTGATTTCTTCCATACAAATGGGTATTAATCAGTGTTTACTGTAGCAGTAACCCTTCAAAATGCCCCCCACAACTGCCACACTTTCCCATATTAACTTATACCTTTACAACATTACACAAAAGTACAGCCCTTCTTCTCTGTCTTGGTGAAGCCTCTTTGATTTGCATTCTAAACGACTCTCAAACTATTGAAATCTTTGCCTCTCTTTTCTTCCATCTTCTCACCTTGGTCCACTCAGCTCTAGATGCAATTTAGTGCCACACCTTTCTTGTTTCTCCTCTAACCCTCCTTAAATCCTTATATGGATTTCTTATCTGTCTCAATGCCCTCCTGCTCATATTTCTCATTCTAGCTTTTAAAATGCCCCATCTCTTCTGTCCAGATATAATCCCTCCCTGTGATGTTTGCTTGCCCAATTCCCATCACCTGAGGCACTGAAGGTCTCTCTCCCCCTCAAACTACACCTTTTCTCACCTGCTGCCTCTTATCCATGGAACTGCCTTCCAGAATTCTTGCCACCTCATTTACTTTTATCTCCATAGTGTATGGTAACTTATGCCAAGTACTTGGAAGTGCACAAGCTAGATATTTTTCCTTGCTTACCTCTGCTGTGATGTCATCCCTTCTTCTGTGTCATTTTCTAGAAGCAGCCTTATATTATTTGTGAAGTATCATAGAATCCTAGAGTTGGAATAGACCACAAGGGCCATCGAGTCCAACCCCCTGCCAAGCAGGAAACACCATCAGAGCACTCCTGACATATGGTTGTCAAGCCTCTGCTTAAAGACCTCCAAAGAAGGAGACTCCACCACACTCCTTGGCAGCAAATTCCACTGTCAAACAGCTCTTACTGTCAGGAAGTTCTTCCTAATGTTTAGGTGGAATCTTCTTTCTTGTAGTTTGGATCCATTGCTCCGTGTCCGCTTCTCTGGAGCAGCAGAAAACAACCTTTCTCCCTCCTCTATGTGACATCCTTTTATATATTTGAACATGGCTATCATATCACCCCTTAACCTCCTCTTCTCCAGGCTAAACATGCCCAGCTCCCTTAGCCGTTCCTCATAAGGCATCGTTTCCAGGCCTTTGACCAGTATCATGGTTCATGAAGTATCATGAACATCAGGGGGGAGGAATCTTGTTCTTTTTCTGCCAAAGGTGGCCCTATTGCAGAGGTAGATTGTCAGGGGTTATATGGGGGGGGGGAGCCAGAACCCCAAGTGAATAGATAGATATGAGACTTGCCTCATTGCGAGTCTCGGGGTCCTCAGAGCCCCAAGGTTTCTCCAGGGATAGCTAGTGGTGAGCCTTTCACACTTGCCTGCACACTGGCATCCAAAAATGGTCTCATGTTTAAAAGATGATAGAACGAATGGGTGCATTGCAACTGCAGAAGGACTGTTCTAGATTGGGCCTATGGCAAACAGGGAGGGTAGCTTAACCTTTCACTCCCACCCAATTTTTCTAATGAAAGTTGCTGCCAACCCAACAGCTACTATTTGCCTTGTTAAGGAAAAGTTGTGTGTTCATAATGGTACACAAACATTTCTGTGGAAGGCCAAACAGCAGCTGCAGAGAAGAGAAAATGGTGTGGTAGCGAATGGTCAAGCCGTTCCTGATCCAGATTTCTCTTCCTCAGCAGCTGATGCTTTCCAGGACTGAAAGAGATGGGCGTGCCAGTCTGTGCCCAAGGAGCCCCTGCTAATTCCCCATCTTAGCATCACTTTCCTAAGTGGCTGCATCTCATCATAGAAAACCCTTTGTTGCACTTTCTATGTACAGTGGTACCTCGGGTTACATACGCTTCAGGTTACATACGCTTCAGGTTACAGACTCTGCTAACCCAGAAATAGTGCTTCAGGTTAAGAACTTTGCTTCAGGATGAGAACAGAAATCGTGCTCCGGCAGCAGCAGGAGCCCCCATTAGCTAAAGTGGTGCTTCAGGTTAAGAACAGTTTCAGGTTAAGTACAGACCTCTGGAACGAATTAAGTACTTAACCCGAGGTACCACTGTATTCCTATTCTTTGTTCCGCCAGTGAGGTAATTGACCCCAGAAGCCTTTGTCTGCTTTCTACCTCGGAGGAAGGACTGGCTAGCTAGTCCTTTTCTAGACCGCTCTTTCTCAATTCCCTCCTATTGTCATACCCACCTTGTTTCCTTGTTGAGTCCTTCTACCCTTTCCTGTTTCTTTGCTTCTCTGACCCAGCTTAGCTTGTTTTTACCTCTGCTTCATAGGTTTCTCCACTGCCATTTCCTCTTCAAAGATAACACATCTCTGCCTCTCTCTTCTTGCTCTCCTCTGTTCATACCAACACTTCTACATGCAAACTCTAGCAAAAATTAAATTCCAAGAGTCTAATAGGCCATAAAGCGAACTAGAAAGTCCCCCTGCATATAGATTTCCTTCACACTACAGGCACAGTCATAAGGAAGTGGGGCATACTATTGATCAGAAACCAGATCAATCTGTATATTATTGGAAAGGCTTGCAGCACTCAGGCTGCCGCTGGAAGCTCTATGACCTGTCGGCCCCACACTTGGCTACTGGACAGAGATTTCCACCAAGACCCCTTTAATGGGGTACCCCAAGTATGTTGCAGGTTCCACTCAGGGTGATGCACCAGTTCACCCATTTTGCTATGTGACATTTTGCTGTGGGGAAGGCAAAACCTGCAAACGGAGTCTATCTGTTTGCAGGCAAATTGCTTCTCAGCTCCAAATATGGCAACCATTGGTAACCATAGCAAGGTCAGGCAGTACAAGAAAGAAAGACATTGTTAGAACCTACCTGTAAAATAAATATGGTTAGACTTAATGCAATTGACATTGACCTAGAAAGGAAAAGATGGTTAAACAAAAGCACTGTAGCCTAACCGGGGGTGGGTGGGGGGTGGGGGCTCTTCTGCTGACCATGCTGAGGGTCACTGACGTGATCGGCTTTTATTGTCACTGAGGGAGCCAAGTGGGAACGTCTGACTCATGGCCCACCAGTGATGCTCTGCCTACTAGGGGTCATTTGAACCAAGAGATTTGACAGGCAATCCCATAACGCAATGCAGCCAGCTGGGGGGGGGGATTAACATCTGGCCCTGCATGATCTGGCAGCCCAGGGATAGTGTAGGACTGCAAGAAGCTGCAGTTGTCACCCATCCAAAATGGGGCTAAGCAGCGCTTGGAGACCTATGCACAAAGTTCCCACTGAATACAACCCTATTAGTTTATGCTCTAGGCTTACTCTAGCTCAGTAGATCATTAGCGCCCTCAGGGGAAAGAAGCAGCTGGAAGAGATTTGATTGGGTGTGTATTTGTTACTAAACTCACAATGTGAGTCACATTTCTTCTTACGCAGTGGAATATTTTCAGGATGTTTTACTTGATCAAAAAGCAACCTTTCTCTATGGTTGGTGTTACTGGAATGTTAATTATTTTAACAGAAATCTGCAGCATCTTCTGCCCATAACTTCTTTATGTGTTCATTAATTCCACAGTGCTGAGACTCTAAGGCGGGAACTTGAGCGAGAAAAGTTGATGAAAAGACTGCTGATGACAGAATTATGAAACTTCTCACTTCTGTCTCATTCAGAGAATGGATTGGGGCCTTTTCGTGCCTTCAGTCTGTTTACATTCCTTTGCTTGTGTGTGTGTGTGCGTGCGCAACATAATGTATCATTACAATATGATATATTACAATCCTGGATTAATCAGTTGGCTAAAAGAGTTAATTCAAGGCCTTTTTTGTATATTTGTTACTCTGGCGAGGATCCAAAGAACCATGAAACTAGTGGTTCTATACCCCGTGGAAAAGGGGTTTAGAATTCAGTCTTTTACCTCAGACAGCAGCCCCTCTCTCTTCCGCATGGCAAACAGCTTTTCAAACAGAGAGTAGTTTCAAGAGCGGTTTGTAAGAGGGAACTCAAATGGACTGGGACCAGAACCTAAGCATCTCTTCAGATCACAGTCTATGATCTGTCTGTCTTTTATTTCTGCTGAATGTTAGGATTTTTAAAAACTACAAAATTGAGTTGAGGCGAATTTTTGGTAAATCTGGAATGAAGAGGAACACTGAGGAATACACACACACACACACACACACACACACACACACACACACAGAGTGTTCTTTTTCTCCTAGATTTCTCCTATATGTATATTGCTTTCTATTAAGAAACAATATTCTGTATATATGTTAATAACTGCACAGGGATAAATATTATGCAGAATATTTTGATAGCGTATACAAAAGGTCATTTTGTAGATCTGAAAATTGCAGCAGTCTACTGTTGTTCATTTGTTTTGTTTTTTAAACAAATAATGGCTGTTTGTTATATAATACTTCTACATGGTGGCAGGGGAAGGGTGGGGAGGAGTTGTGATTCCATCTTACCCTAGGACTGTTAGTCTCCACAGAAAAATAAAAGCTGCTTTTTTAAAATTCCAAACTTCAATATCACACAAGGAGGAAATGCACAAACCCACCTACACTTTCAGGAAATAAAAACCTTGTTAATTCAATTTTATATTAAAATAATACAATTTTCAGTTACTCCAGTTTGCTTCCATTGATCCCCATGTTATCATACCAAATAAAATCGAAAATTAGATTTTTAAGTGAAATGCTAATCTGCAAACTTCTGCATGCAAATTTCAACTTCGATCAATTTATTGTGCATAGCCAAAGGCCTTTACAATGTACAGCAGAGGGCAAGGAAAGGCTTTCCTCTGAAATTACATGACATACCATGGAAAACCACATTTGAAATTCTTACATGCATATAAGTTAAGCATGTATGTATGTAAGTGCTGGTGAATATTAAGGCCTTAAAGATCATACAATATTAAAGGTCAAGTTTCTTAGAAAACTTTGTCTTCCCAATTTTAAGCAGTGCCTAAAAGTGTAGTTCAATTCTGAAACTACCGTTAGTCATCAGTTAGAGAAATTTTTGCTTTATATGTTCTGGTAACTCTGTTTTTCTGTTACAGATATAACCCTTTTTCTTGGTTCTCTTAGCATCAACAATTATTCTGGTAGTCCAACAAGCACCGGGTTACCCAAACCTTGGTGATAGCCGATAAGTAGAACAGGTTCAGGTCTTTCACACTAGGGTAAGGAATGAAAACTGAATATCTTTTGAAAATCTACTGATGAAGAACTTGTGATAAAAAGAAAATGGCATAAGTGTTGGGAGGGCTTCTGTGATTTATGGTACCTGAATAAATTTCAAAATAGGCACCAATAATGTAAAGCGTCTCCTAAACTCCTGTATGCCTGAACTGCATTAAATAGGTGTTGCCACTTACTATATTAAACTGCTGTATGTCTGAACTCTGTTAAATAGGCATTACTCCTCCGACACAAAGCACACACTAGAGAGGGGGAGTCATTCCATATCAAGTGATCCAACTTCCCCCCCTCATGTCATCCAATTTTCTTAATAATTTGTACGCTTGTTGAATGATCAAAAATAAGTTTAAATCAATTTTTTTAAAGCTTTTTTTATCTCATCCCATTTGTGAGTTATGAGGGTTTGAAATTTCAAAAAATTGACCTTTTTGGCCTACACAAAAACCTTAAAAGCTCAGACCAGCATTGAGATACGTCAAAACTAAAAACACCAATCTCTTTAGAACCTCACGGGCTTTAATATAATATGTCACAAGATGGACTTGCTTTAAAATTTAAATTACAAAATTTTAAATTTTAAAAAGTGATTAAAAATTAATATGATTTAAGAAATTCAAAAAGATTGTATTGATTATTTAATATTTCTAAGATCTACCTGTGAAATTTCATATTGGGACCTCAATGGGATCACACTGGAAAAAATATTTTGTACATACATGTCTACCTTATTGGGACATAATTTTGTTTTATATGAATTTTGTTTTAATGTTCATGAAATGAAGTACTAACAATAATTCTTTCAAAGCAGTAATTCTATCACTCTGCTTTGGAACACATTTTCAAAAGAAAAGCCTGACTAGCATTTCAGATACCTTTTAATTGCATAACTTTCTAAAGAAATGCCTGAAGTAACTGATGTTATAGTTTGAAGTCTTGTTTCTTCTGTTATATTTTACCGCATGAAGACCCATTTATCCTATATAGAACCCAATGAGGCAGACATGTATGTACAAAGCATTTTTTCCAATATGATCCTGTTGAGATCCCAAGTTGAAGTTTTGCAGGTAGATCTTAAAAATATAAAATAATGAAAGCAATCTTTTTAAAAATGGTTAATCATACTAATTTTTTAATCACTTTTTAAAATTTTGTAACTTACATTTAAATTTTAAAGTAAGTCCATCTTGTGATATATCATACTAAAGCCCGTGAGGTTCTGAAGAGATTGGTGTCTTTAGTTTTGACGCATCTCAATGCTGGTCTGAGCTTTTAAGGTTTTTGTGTAGTTCAAAATGGTCAATTTTTGAAATTTCAAACCCTCATAAATCACAAACAGGATGAGATAAAAAGCTAAAATTTCAGATTTAAACTTAGTTTTGATCATTCAAGAAGTGTACAAATTATGCAGAAAATTGAATGACATGAGGTAAAAATGTTGGCTCCCTTGATCTGGAATGACCCAGGGGGAAAGGAGCATGCCTACTGGATAACAGCCACATTTGCCTGGCAGACAAATACCAAGACTGAATGAACATTACAATAGTGACAGCCTTTCTGATAGATGCTAAATATTTGACTTTCCGCCAAAGCACTGTGCTCCTTGTATATAATCACTTTTCTGTCTGAAATTGCAGAACGGAAGTTTTGATAAAACATTATCATTACGCATCTTTTTACACATGCTCTGAAAGAGTTGAACAAGTGACTGGGAAATTTTCTTTTCCAATCTTTTAGAGACTAGAAACTCCTTATCACCCAAGCAGGCTTAATTCTGCATGCAGTCGAGAGTGTTTTGAGTTACTAACAGAGGCTCCCATTGATCAAATGTCATATCAGATGCCTCACTGACTGATTGCATACATCACAAGTCACAAAGCTCGTTCTTTGAGAATCACCCAGGAGAACTTGCTTTGGGGCTGGCAAAAGAGTCGTGCCGATGAGCCAGGCGAGACTTGCCCATATGGAATGGACTGCAGTTAGCAGCTCTGGTGGAAGCTATTGCAAATTTGCACTCCCTGAGGCCTCTAGAGCAGCCCAAGTTCAGTTTTATCAGGGCTGAATGTAGCCTGTTTGGAAGTACGCTCAGGACTTGGAAATCCATGTTCAGTTTCTTTTTAAAGAATTGCATTTCCACTTGTTTCATTGTGGGAGTCTAGAAATATTGTGGACAGTATTTTCCTGTTAAGTCCTGTTTATTTTCCCTTCCCACAATCTGACTTGTGTTAGCTTGTTTATCTGTGATATCTTGGAGAGTTTCAGGCACATCCAAAGTTTTCTGGGATGGGAATCACAGTACAATGCACCTCCCTTTGCTTCTTTCCCCTCCCACAGGAAGCATATTATATCATAGATTTTCTATCGTCTGGTGTTTGCCAATATTCTTACCACTATTCAGAGCTACTTGCAGTAGTCCCAAGGCAATGGGTGCACTCTTCTGTAAATCACAGTATCCTATGCCCATGATAGATAATTGAACCCTGATCCATACTTGCATGAGCCATGAGTCATAAGATGCTCATTCAACTAAGAAGGGCTTTTTCATAACTGCTTATCCCAGGCAATGAGATCAATCTATTATTCCAGGGTAGGGGTTTTTGAGGTGGTGGTGTGGGGTGTTTTTTATGTAAATAAAATATTCCCAGTATTTTACTGGCAGACCCTAATGAATTTGCTTAATTGGGGTGCACCTTCTTGAATTGTTTAAAAAGTTGCAACAAGAGAAACAATGTAAAAGGGATTTTCCAATTTTCACTGGGAGCCAAAGGACTGTAATTTTCCCTGTATGGTCTAGCATTGGATCTCATGAAATGAACAGACACTGCCTTTGTAAACCTTGTGCAAAGTTCTAAATCAGCATCAGGATATGCTCCATGTAAGTTTTAAACTTATTATTCTGGCATTAGGTTTCTGTTTTAAATTTTATGTTAAGAGAAATTGTCCTCCCAGCTACATGTGACCAACAAAGTTAAATGTGCCAGCCAAATATATATTTTTTGTTTTTGGAGGCTCATTTTCATATATTTCTTGCTATTTCCCCTGGTTAACAGAGAGTTTATACTTATACAGTGGAATATTGCTGTTTCCTTTTTTTTAAATGTCCTGATGCTCAAGGAGTTTGCAATAAGTATATTGGGACTGATCTGTTGTTTTGCATGCATGATCAGCCCCTAATGTGTGTTTTTGTAATTTTGAGTGCTGTTAATGAATCCCAGAATGTTGGGAGAAGGGAGACATCTTGGGGGGATTCGGCTGCAGAGCCAGGTAACTTACACCAGCATGGGACCAACTGATCAGCAGCCTGGAACAGAAGCAGCGCGTTATGGCATATGTTAGTGAACCATGCCTTGAGGGAGGCTTTTTGTGGCTGAACTGTTTACCTGTTCCTGTATTCATGCTTGCAATAAAAGAACTGAAAACTAAAGAACAATCTCATAGTGATTTCTTTTCATGTCAGGGATTTCAACCTCACAGCTTCTGGAAGATTGGTCAGTTGCATATTTTGGATGGGGTTGCAGTCCCTTCTGAAAGAATAGGCTCATAGTTGCTTCCGGGTCCATCTTTGTTGCTGGAGGCAGCCTCCGTGACCAGGAGACCTCTTACTAGCCACAGCTGGTAGGCCAGCTATGGCCGTTCTTGGATGGGGGTAGTCTGGCCACAGTAGTCAGGCACCTGAATATCTTAATGTGCTCTATGTGGGGCTACGTTTGGGCTTAGTCTGGAAGCTCCAGCTGGTGCAAAATGTTGTCGCTAGACAGCTGGTGGGGACAACTTCAGGTTTCAGATTCTGAATTAACCTAAGATCAATATTTGCTTCATTTTCATGTCTCTTCCCTGATTATAATCTTAACCTGTTTGAAGTTCAGAAATATCCCTTTCTTTTCTCTTGAAGTTACTCTTAAACAATGAACTGTCTGAAGTTAAATCTACACCAGCATTTCCTAAGCAACACGTTTCTGCAATCCATCAAGACACTTGAGTTCAGGTCAGGTTTGAATTTTCCACTTTGATGCTCCAAGGATATTTCTATTATATGTTCATTTTGTCACGTTAGCAAGCAGTATTACCAAATCTATCTTAACCAAGTTCCTTCTTCTTAAATCCCTTAAATGTCTTTCTTAAATCTTCCAGAGAAAGGAATGCAACAGGTGGGAAGCAAGTCTAATCTGATAAGTTTCCCTTCAAAATACATTGCTTCAGTTTTCAAACAACATCCGCCAGAATTGCTGCTCATTGGGTGCCTTGAAGACTAGGCTGAATGAGCTATAAACTATTTCTAAACTTCTAAAAGAGGCTCCTTAAATTCTTTGTTAAAGCTGTGGATGCTAAGCCTCCTCAATGGACCTTGAAAGTGCACATAATGTGTTAGTCATAGGAATTTTTCAAAAACTTATCATTTGCAACAAAAGCCAAATGAGTAATCTTGTAGATTGCATTAAAGGTGACTTGTCTAGTTGATGCCACATATCAGATGGAAGCAAATGTCAAAGCTTCAATTCCTTTGATATTTCACTAGAATAAGAGAGCAGTAATGAATCTTGTGAGGTTTAAAATATCTCATTATATCATGTCAGCAGAGATCCAGGACAGCTGTTGTCAAAGATAATGCGAGAAATAAGATGGGAGAACATCAAACTATAAATATAGTTAAGAACATGAAACATGTTTTGGTATCTAACAACAGCATAATCAAATCCAAAAGGTGACATTTAAAGACATATTTATGAAAATGGCTTTTTCACCCTATGCAAATTGCTGGAGGGCCTGATTCAAATTGGAAGCCCACCTACCCTATAGGATCCAGGTCAGGCCCCCAAAGCCCCCTCTACTTAGGGGCAGGGATATGGAGTCTCCTGGGTTACTCTGACACAAAATGCTCCAAGGCGAAGGGGAACCGCTTTTTTAAAAAGAATGTGGTGTGGTTGGCAATAAAACAATCTGAAACACACAATGTGTACCAATGTGCAGACCATGGGGTGGGGGGTTATGGAGGCACCCTCTTGACACTGGCAACCAATGTGATACTCCCGCTGGTAGACCTACACAACCCCAGCTTTGCCGCTGCTCTCCCCCCGCCCCCCAGTGTACCAGCCAGTGTCGAGAGAGGGTCTCTGCCCCAATGCAGCCCCTGCTATGCACTTTGCCCAATGCAATCACTGGTGGTGGTGATTTGGGGGTTTTGCAGGGGTCTTTAAACTCCGCAGGGCAAACACAGCTGGAGTGTTATCACAGAACATCGTTAAGATATCCTCCCTACAATGCTCTGCTTTCATTCAGAGTGCACTGCAGTAGCCAGATAGTATAAGCACACAGTGCATTTATGACC